CCATTGACCACGCGTCCTCGAGAGGACGGAGCATGGTTCCCACAGGACCGATCACCGATGGCCAACCGCTCCTTTCTACTTTGCCAAAGGTGGCTCAAAAGTGANACCTTAAGCTTTGTTCCTGCATCCATTGGTCCATGTAGGTAATCCTTGAACCCTATTCCTTCCTTCAACATTCCGTACACTTCTAGACCCTCCTTATCCTTGGATTCTTTCCTTAGATTCTGTTCTTCTCTCTCGGCACAAGCAACAGATATCTTCTTCTTGAACCCCTGTAGACCCTCCGTTTCCAGCGTTTCATCTTCGTCGATGTCTAGCCCCTTCAATACGTCCTCTACAACCTTGACCCATTCCGTGGGTTGTCTACCACTCTTTTTGTTTTTGGTTCCGAGGGGGGGTATGAAAATAATACGGATGAGAGAGCGGTTAAATATCACGACTTCGTAGCGACATACCCTCGTGCCATCACCAGAAATAACAAGTAGGCTCGTTCTTTGGTGACTATTGGGGTGAGGGGAGGGGGTGGGGGTTGGCGTTTCCGGCAGGAGGTCCCACAACGGCGTCGCAGTTGCGATATTTGGGGGAAACATATTCGAAACGGAGGGAGGTGGGTTGTACAGGGAAAACATGGCGGGGGTTGCTTTCTCTTGGAGTGAACAGAATCAGTGTTGAACAGCAATGCCACGCACGATTGTTCAAAACGCATGAAATAACTGTGAATAAACAGCACACCATCCCTCCCGGGTGGGTGTAGGTTGGACTGAGCGTGTGGGTGGGTGGACGACGTTGATTGGTTTCTCGAAAATAGCATTAAGTTTTCTGTTATTGAAAAGCGCGGTCATGCTAGACGGAGAACTGTCGAAATTCTTCGACATTGAGCAGGGGGTCCCACAAGGTTGCACGCTGTCTCCAACATTGTTCCAGGTGTTCATCAACGATCTGTTGGAAGTCGTAGAGGCAGTCCGGAAGGGAGTACAAGTAGGGGACACGGAAACGTCGGTTCTAGGAATGAATGCTGTTTGCGGATGATTTTGTCGGTATGTCGGACACCCCTGAGGGACTGCAACTGCAAATTGACGCGGCGAAGAAGTTTACTGATAAGTGGAGATTGTCTGCCAACGTTCAGAAGAGTGCCGTCATGGTATGCAACGAGAACAAGGAGGAACCAGTAGAACATAGATGGAAGTGGGGGATCGAGGAGATTGCAGTAGTGGACCAGTACACATACCTCGGAGTAGAGATTGCAGAAGGTTGCTCGTGGAATGCACACATGTCCAAGGTAGCGGAAAAGGGCAAAGCACGAGCAGGGAAGCTGCACCCAATACTCGCAAACCGGCACCTCGATACACGCATCAAATTGACGGTTTTGAAGAGCGTAATCGTACCGCCGCTAGAGTACGCCGGAGAAGTATGGGAAGGAAATAAGAAGGCAGTGAAAGAACTCGGCGCGGCGCAGATGAAAGCAGCGAAAACCATCCTAGGATGCTCCAGGCGCACAAGTAATGCAGCCGTGAGGGCAGAATTGGGGATCCAATCCCTACGGTCGGGAAGAGACGCGAGGAAGCTGACCTGGCAGTATCGCATGTGCGGGATGGGAGAGGAGAGGTTGCCGAGAATTGTATGGGAGGCGAAGTGGGCAAACAAAAAGAGGGGTAGACAACCCACGGAATGGGTCAAGGTTGTAGAGGACGTATGGAAGGGGCTCGACATCGGCGAAGATGAAACGCTGGAAACGGAGGGTCTACAGGGGTTCAAGGAGAAGATATCTGTTGCTTGTGCCGAGAGAGAAGAACAGAATCTGAGGAAAGAATCCAAGGATAAGGAGGGTCTAGAAGTGTACGGAATGTTGAAGGAAGGAATAGGGTTCAAGGACTACCTACATGGACCAATGGATGCAGGAACAAAGCTTAAGGTCAAATTCAGGACCGGGGACATAGGCCTTCGAGAACGTCGACGAAGACATAGGACGGTAGACGAGGAAGACGACGAGTTCAAATGTGATTGCGGCTTCGAATGCGAAGACCGTGTTCATGTAGTCGCGGAATGTCCGTTGTACAAGAAGGAGAGGGAAGTGTACGTGACTGAGCTGGGAAAAATAGATGGAACGTACAGGGAGATGTTTGAGGCATGGAATAGAGAGGAAAGGACGGTAGCTGTACTGGGGCATAGGAGGTGGGTTGAAAAGGCGGGAAGAGATATCGTTAGGATAGACAGACTAGGGAAGTCACTTTTGAGCCAACTTTGGC